CCCGTGTGTCGAGCCCTTAACACAGCAGCATATGGTGAAGATGCTGAGTAACACAATAAAATCATTTTCAAAAATTTGAATGAACAAATCCATTTAGTCAGTGGGCATTATGACAGAACAGCTGTTGGAGCTGAGAGGTTCAGGATCGCCTCCCAGTCTTTATGAATGGAGTTTAATGTTCTCCTCGTGCGCACAAGAGTTTTATTTGTGTGCGCTGGTTTCCTCCCACAGACCAGAAATATGCCTGTTAGATAACTTTGTAACTACATTTTCCTTAAGAGAGATTAGTAAATGTATATCTAATGATTTTATTCTGAGTTTCATCAAAATTCATCCTCTGGTTCAAGAGATACTTTGCTAAAAGACATAGAAAATCAAAACACACATTTGCTCTTCTATCGTTGTGGGGACTTTGCATTGACTTCCATTCAGCCGGAGAGATGATTCAAAAGAGACGGTAAGCAAAGAGGAGACAGCCAAAAAAAACATGGTTTACTTTCAGAAACAGGCATCASAACCTTCATCATACTGCATAAAACACAAAGTTCTGCAGATGTTGAAACAGTGTTGGTTGAAGCCATCAGATGACCAGAACAAAGGTATTCACCATTGCTATCGTCTTTCCAGGAGGACTGTACACAGCATGTTGTTTTTGACATAAGACGTCTTATAAAAGTGTATAAAAAAACATCGGGAGGATCCAGTTGCATTCACAGATGCAGAATGAGCAAACTGGTTCAAGATTAAAACATATTTTCAAAAGACCAGACTGCAGCCAAATAGCAGAGTTTGACAAAAAAAACACTGAGACCACTGAAGACATATCTCTGAGTAGGAAGAGTAGGCCCACCCACAGACATCAGACTAAATCACAACAGTGTGAAGGGAGCTTGAAAGGCTTAGGGAACCACGCTGTATAATAAACCCAGTGTCATAAAGTTCAGTTATGTTATGTTGAAAGACCAATCCCAACCCCCACCCCCCAATGGGAGACTTCACATCAAAGCCTTTGAGTTTCTTTTGGAACATAATGATACAGGAGGTCATCAAAGTAAAAGAATTTCAGCTTTGATGCATCACCACTGAGACATTAATTTTTAGCTCACAGAAAGATCAATCAATATTTAGGTAAGTATCTGTTCTGCCATTTAGTTAGACAGTTTTTAACAGCAAAATACAGTATATTGTCAAAAACAGTTTTTTATGATATATGTCTGCCACTYGTATTTAGGAACGTGACAGCTTTTCTAGTCAAACTAAATGTAAGGTTGCAGCTGATGCAGTGCCTTTGGGGACAATTTATAGGTGACTAAATTCAGCAAGAGATTTAGGGGACGCCAAGTGTGAAATACAATATTTAAGGGTGGTAATTTGTATTTACCAGGCACATAGTTCATTTCTATACAATAATCAATTAACTATGTTACCTTCAGTTGTTCTGAAAAGCTGTATATATCAAAACTAAAGCTGACCATTTTAGCACCTAGCCTATATCTAAATGCCTTGAAATTGGCCTCTGTCTCTTTAAGAAACTCCTACCGTTTCAAATTCTCCCACTTCAGCACAACTATATGACAATTTCTGGGGAGGGGTGTTCTGTGGAGTGCCAGCTCAGCTATAGACTGAGATCCAGGGAGGAGCATTGTACAAACAGGCAGGGCTTTGTACCAGCAAACATTTAGGCAGCTTTACATGGCTACCAGAGGAGATTCGTGGATAAACATGCATGAATGAGTCAAAGCAGCACTCTGGATATGTTTTTGATGATGGAATGATATTATAACATGATATAAAGCTCAAAAAATCCTTTTTGCATAATACAACCCCTTACAAAAATGTCACTAACACTCAGAAAGGGAGTTAAATAATGAAAAATTTCTTATTTAGCTCCTTTTCTGAGCATAAAACCTGGATAAAATTTTCCCTGTTATATCTGTGTTCTTTTTTATTAGGTTGTTTGTATTTTGAATGCTTTCAGTGTTTACCTTACCACTCCTTGTGTTTCAGTTCTTTAATTTGGATTCTGGTGTATTATTATTGTCCCCTGTGTTATCTTTCATTCAGCCCCTGTGTTTCCTCAGTCAGCTGGTCACACCCACTCACACCTGTTCCAGTTTGTTCCCTCACCAGCTGGTGTTTGTGATTAGGTTCGTTTTTGCTCCTCCTTATATTCTGGGTTTCTCAGGTGATTTCTTGGTGGATCATTGCACTGGCTCATGCCAATTCTCAATCACTCCTGGCAACAAACAAGCTAAATTGAGGTCCTCCATCCATATTTTCAGTTACAGGCTGAGTCATTTTTACCTTCTCCTCTCTGACAACGCTCTCTGGTTTCAATTAAAAGAGCCAATCGTAAGATATTTTCTAAGATTAACCTTCAGGGTGGATATACTGTAGCTAGCAGCCTCGCACCAATGACCTACGTCATCATTTACCCAGAATGCTTTGCATGCAAAAAAAAAACTGTTACTGCAAAAACTGTCCATCTTACCAAGTTTTAAAATCTTATGTCCAGCCAAAAAGTCTTTTTGATCTTGTTTTGAGACTGA